GGGCCAAACCTCTGAAAATAATGCGCTGGAAATGATCGTCCACATGCTGTATCAGTATCTCCGAGTTAATGCGTGCTGTCTTCATGGTCGGGACGTTACATTCCACTAGTAGCACAGTTCATGGTGCTTGTTTGACTTTTGCGGTGTGCTTTTGGGTTAATGAACGCCCCGACGGCTCGCTTTCGAGTTTCAGATTTGTATCATTATTCATTGATTTGTATAACAATGACCGCATGAGTTGGTGATACTCTGCACAACCCTTTTACCACTGTATTCACAACCAAATACAGCGTTAACATGCTTTCCTGCGTTCACTACAAGAAACAATCGTGACCTGACAAATTGCTGTTATTACGAACATGTGGAATTAAAATAGATGCATTCCTTGTGAGATTTTTGTAATGCTGCGGAAACAAGTACCCGACCAATAAGTCTTTAATTCATCCATTTCTTGCCTTGTACCAAACCACTGTGGATAGTTATGCGTTTGTATGATTCCATGTAAATAGCACCATCCATTTATCAATGTTTTGAGAGGTTTTCATGAAGACCCTGGGTAGCCTTTGCCCATCAGACCCCCGTGAAGACTGTTGTAAAATAGAGCAGATGCAGACGTTCACTCATTAATGAAGTCATAGCTAATCGCTCAGAACTAGCGGCGAGCTTGCTGTGTATTTATAGTACTTCAAACAGTGCACTTGCATTTCACCATCAACAAAACAGGCCTGTTCGTCTTTGAGACTAATTGGAAATCGACTTGGTTAGCGACAAATCCACAGCACTTAGTGACCGTTTCGTTGGGACTGTGACTGCAAACAGATCTTGACATTCCGTTGCAGTTTGGACACTGATATGCGTCGTACATACAGGTGTATTTTTACAATAGCTTTGTGCGTTTGTACTGTTTTGATATACCTCTCAAAGCGCTTGTATTCTCTCATCTCTCGAACCCTTTATGAAGTAAAACGGAGAGCGCGTGCTGTCGTCATCGCTCGTGTAAATGCAAACCAGCGCCGTCTTAATTCCTCTGTCATTTATTCCCTTTCGTCTTCTTGTATGGACAATGTAAATAGTTTCCTATGACCAAAAGACTTCACCTACGTGCCTTGAAGTACTTTACCTGTCGAACCCCACTAACTGGATCTGTTTAACACAGAATAACAGAAATGATGTTTCCGAATCTTCATGTACTTAACGATTCCCTTGTTTATTTCCCATTTCTTTATTTCTCTGTATAGAAAGGAATGTCTATTTTGTACTGTTTCTATCTTCCTAATTAAAAAGAAATGCATTTTTTGTTTGCCTAAATTTTGTTCGGCTTTGTCATGTTTTTTTTTGTGAACTCTCTTTTCTCGCTGTCTGAACATCACATAACGGGGAACTGAAAGAAAGGAATCAAATGTGTCATCCGCACACCCATTTGTTTTCCATTATTTGAGAAACATTCACTCAGATCTACAGCAAGTTCTTTTTATTTTAGCATAGCAATACTGTTAAAAAATATATACTAAGATAATTATAGTTTCTTTTAGAAATGACTACAATGCCCACGTTTTAAAAAGGTAAAAAAGGTAATTGCGACTTTTTATCCCACAATTCTGACTTTTTTTCTCAGAATTGCATGATATAAACTCGC